CAGTAAGAGAGCTCGGATAGAATTTGTTAAATTCTGAAAAAAAGGAAAACAATTCTGAAGAGAGATTTGGATGGTGTTGCTTTTGACTGTGAGAAACAGCAAAGCAAGAAGAGAAAAACAAAGTTTTCAGGAGAGAGCACTCAAACGTGCTGAACATTTACATGACAAAACAGCAGCTGCAATTGCAGATATACTCCCAGAACGAAATTTGCCTCTGCTGAAATGAATAGCTAAACTCCTGTTGATTTCAAGAGAACCAGCATTTCAATTCTAGATAATATATGTGTGCAATAGGCATAGGAGATTGCTGTACATATACCACAATTAACCACAGAGGACTACTTTTACTTTGTTTTTGATCTTGCGTTGTGTGCCAGGCAATCTAAGATAATTTGTAAAAGATGAAAAAAAAATGAGTAGATCAAAACGTTCTTTATCCTCTAGCCACTGCTTGTTTTATGAGACTAAAAACTACTAGTCAAAATCATGAAATCATATATTATTATTTTGTTTAGCTTGCAGTGTAATTATCACAAGCCATTTTAAAAATCCTTTCACTGCCAATGTTCAGTAACACAGCAGTGTGCATTTTATAACAGTAAGATAAGCAAAAAACAAAGATAAATAATGACACTGATGTCTTTTAACCAGCCCTTTGTTTCTTGTAATGGAAAGTTCATAATAAAAACTAATCAAAGAATAAGATTTTAAAACATGCATAACTACTGCATATAACTATTTATGGTTTCATTCTACAGTAATTTTTCTATGCTCTAAAAAATAACAACCAAAAAGACATTTTAGAATTAATACTCTATATATTCATATATGCTAAAATAGCATTACTTTCATATATTGCTTTCCAGATATGAGCTTAAAAGATTTTTTTCAAATATTCTTTTTAATGGCAAAACAGAAGAATTTTTTAACTTAACCATTAACCATGGACTTAAGCATTTTTAAAATTGGTTTTTGAAAATCTTTTTTTTCCATCTCTTAAATTATCAAGTAAAATTTACACATTTTGAGGGTCTCAGTCTATCCTCTCCATTTATGTTGAAGCTACATGACTAAATGACCAGTTACTTCATATTTGACTGGAAATAACTGCTAGGTTCAGAGGAGATTGACGGTCAGTATAGGAGAATGCAAGACAACACCTTTGATTTTTATGGTATTCATCTAATTCAAAGCTGGATGCCCCATAAATGTCATAGACAGGCTGGCCGAAGTGAACCTCTAGGTAAGGAAAAGGTATTTTTTCTTTAAGGAGAAAACTCACATTCTAATATCAGTTCTAATGTTTGGCTACTTTGTCTTCTTACAATTTTTCCTTGCAAATGTCATGTTAAATGGCAGATGAAATGTGAGTGTTAAAAATGTTTAATGTATAAAAAAATGTGCTCAGATAGCATCTCTACTCATGTTAAATATATTGCTTTCCTATAGGAATACTAGAGATAATTTGGCTCCACAAACTCCTCATCAAATTTTCCTTCCATGTAAATATTTTAAAATAAATGTTTATAATAAAATCAGTCTTTTTGACCTTGGCAAAGAATTAAAAACAATACATTGACTTCTCTTGGGGAACGGAGAAGAGCATTAATACTTTTTGCATTGGTCTTAAATCAAATGTGTTTTCTTAGAGAATTTTACTTCTGCTACAAAAAAAGAAATAATGCAGCACAAATGAGAAAGAAGACCAAGCCCTTTAGATACATAGTAAAAATGATGAACTAAAATAGCAAAGAACAAGACCTGCAAAAGGAACTGACATACGAATTTAATAATGTGAGATTTATACCTCTTTATTTAACATCTTTCCCCACTTCTCAGCCCAGACCCTGTCTAAAGTGTTTAAATTTATACTTACAATGACAGTGTGGTCTTTACTTGTGTATAAAGGCATTGCCAAATAAGCAAAAAAGAAAAAAAATCCTATTTAAACCTTTTTTTCTCATTCCAATAAGAATATTTAAAAAGAAACACTTTCATTCCTGAAGGTTACAAAAATGAAGGCTACTTAGTTTTGCTTAGATGCAGACATACGGTATCTTTATGGGTCAGATGTAGACAGACCCAAGCGTTCTCTGCCAGAACTCCAAAATGAAAGACAGGATATATTAGCTCAGTGTCGTGTCATGTTCACACAAACGCATAGCTCCTGGATGGGAGAGCACTCCAGTAGGTCTGCACTTGTCCGGGTAGGCATGTCTGCAGATAGGCGAGTGCTGTGTGGGTTCTACTCAGTGCAACTGGTGTGTATCACTCCCTCATCAAGGTATATGCCTCTGCCTCTTGGTTCCTTTCCAAAGACACACCTATTGCTTTTAAAATACCTCTAATTCTTATGATTAAGAAACAAGCCTGGTTTGCATCCAAAACGTTTCTCAGATTCTGTATCTTGGCACATGCTGTGACTACATCCCAACAGCACAAGCCTCAGACTTGCGTTTGGTTCTCTTGCATTCCCCGGTTTCCATAGAGGAGAAAATCAGATATGTGGTTGAATGAGAGCCACTGGGCATGTCAGCACGTCCCCAGTCTGGATGACCAAGTGTCTGAGACGCTTGCTTGCATCTTTATGGTAGGGATTTGTTCTAGGGCCTATGCACAACGTGAAGTTACTGTGGAGCTGACCAATGTGTCTGCATATCACTGAAACTACCAAGAATATCTTTAGGGAGGACAACGTAGAACAAGTATTCTACAAAAGATATTTCAGCCAAGTACCTAAAAAATAGGACTTGGGGGTCTAATTTATTTCAATGGCTGCTAACAGAAGCGCTAAATGTGTTATGAGGTTAAAATGGCTGTCCATTTAACTGCATAAAGTCCTGCAAGGAAGAAGACACACCACTGTGGTGTTCCGTATTGCTTACTTTCATTGGTAATTCTCTTGGTACAGCAGAAAGGGATGCTGATTAGGATGGCTATGTGTCACCTTATTTTTGCCTCTTGAGAAGGCCTCAGTTTTCAGGCTGATTTGAGAAACACTGTTAAAAAAGAGTTTGAAAGCTCTTTTCAATGCACGGTACTCTTGACCTGCAGCAGACTTCGCTCTTTCCAGCAAAGTTTGGATAGTAGTTTTACTATCCACACAAGGTTTCATTAGCGCACAGGTTGACACTGCTAAGTCACGTTTCTGTGCAACAACCAGAATTTTAACCCAGGTTTCTAGAGGTGAAGAGCTAGAGTATATTCCACAGTTCCATTTATGACTTCCCCTACACTCTCCTTCTTCCATAATTTTGAAAAACTAGATAACACTAAGTGAAACCACTAATGCTGAATTCCAACCAGACTAAATCAATCTGTAATTAATATTTTATAGGCTTACTTCACAGTTTGGTAATGTCATATCGGTCTCCACAATAACAGGCTGTGGGGTCTAGTCTTCTATACATACACCTAAGGATTTACATGGTTGCTTCCCACTATTATTAATGGAAACGGCCACATATATTCAAATAATATAGAAACAGAAAACAGGATGGGATATAAGGGAAGAGAGTTGCTAAGTATCATGCAAGTGAAAGCTAATACAGAAGTATTACTTATTGCTATACACAACACATAAAATTGCTACACTGATTTATGTAGCATTAAATAAATAAGTAGGTGGTTTAAGTTTTATGGATGCTTAAGGTAGTTTTAGGAGTTGTAAACGGCTGTACTGGGTCAGACAAAAGGTTCTCATAACTCACTATTCTCTAGCAGTGTCTACTAGCAGATGCCTAGGAAAGCCTGTAGGAACAAGACAAGTGCATACTGAAACACCCCTGAAGCCCCAAACTGCCAGACGAATATTTTTGTATTTGATAGTCCTTACCTGATTTTTTTCTTGCATATGTTTGCTTAACTATGTGTTAACCTATGTAAAATTTTCTGGGAACCACAGTATCATTTGGCAGTGAGATGTGCAGCTTAATTATGCCTTATCTGGAAAAGCACTTCCTTCTATTTATTTGCCATCTGCTACCTGTTGATTTCTTCTGATATTTCTCACTTCATGTACTATGACAGACAGGAAATAATAAATACTCTGTGCACATTCTCCTTGCTTCCTGGTGTCTTACAGATCACTGCAATTTCTCCCCGGAGGGGTCTCTATTCTAAGATGAAGAATATACATTCTGAGCTGAAGGTCCATATAATCATTCCTAGTATGGAAGAATTTCTGTATCTTTGTTCATCCTCTTTGCCCCTTTCTTTAGCATATTTAGCCTTACTTGAGTTTTTTTGAGATACAGAAGACAGATCTTTAAAAAGTACTTAACGTTAATCAGTATTACAGTTTGGATGCAGAGCTGAAACATTATATATGGGCTTCTGAACAAGGATCTACTTCAGCATACAATATATAGCGACACCAATGTGATTATTTTTTGTATGTTGATGACATTACAGACCTTAGGACAATTGTATGTGAGTAGCTGCAGTTCCCATCTAAAGTTCTATGTTTTCATGTGTAGTGAATTACAGGTCTGATAAACACATCACACCTTAAGTGTGGTTTCATATTTTACATTTATCTACATACTGACCAAAAGACTTTCTGTTGTATGGCAGCACTCAACACCAATTGTTCATATTGTGAAAAGATGTTCTGTTCTCCAGATTCATAAGAGCAAGGTGACAGACTTGTTAAGGAAATGCATGGTTATTACTCAGATATTTTTAGAGGATCTCTCATGTGACATTGGAAAACATAAATCTTAATTTTTTTGGTCATCCTTGAATGTGAAAGGATACGAATGTGATAAAAATACAACCATATTTGATTCTTTCCGATGTTTAAATCTTGGGACAGTTAGCTTGAATGCTCTGACGGATCTCAGTGATTGTACTAATACAGACACAGCTGGGACGTAGACAATTAGACTAAATAACTTCTCATGGTACATGACAGCCATATTTTGTCCAGTTCTAAAATAAGACTTCAGATGCAATGGAATTGTTTTGTAAACAATATGCTACTTTATGTTTCACCTTAGGCTTGTCTCATCTCACCTGCAACATTTCAGATGGAGACAGCACTGGAGAAGAATAAAACACAAAATTATCCGAGTCTAACGAAAATAAGGTGTGTAGGTTCACCTCCTCCATGTACTGATCACAGCAAATTTAAATGATCTAACATTCTACAGGAGTGATATTCACCAGGTGTGTGTTATTCCACTTTCTCAACTGTTAAAGTAGTTTTCTGTTCAAAATGATTTTGATTTGTACAGGTTTTAATGCCATGCATCCCCTCTGTCTCCTGGGACTACTATAGCCACGAGCATAGCTAGACCATTTAGACTAACAGCCCCTAGATTTAAATACCATGGAGCTGGGTCAGTTCTCAGGACAAATCCCCTGTTCTTCAGTTCACTCCCTCAGCTGGTCTGAGAGCACCCAAGAGTGCAGGAAATATTAAAGCACAAGAACAGACTCACCTTCCTTGTGCAGGGAGAATGAACTGGGGGGATGTGTATGACAGCCAAGATAACTGAGGTCCTGTGCTTTGAACTGATTGATCAAAGAGGCAGATGGCCTCTATTTTTATTAATATTTCTATAACTAGTGTTAGAATAACAATAGCGATGATGAAGAGGTTTGATACTCATACATGTTAAAAAAATGCTATGTAGGCTTGGATTAGAGGCGCTATTCCAAATTTTTCATAAAAAAAGAAAGTGAAATTGAAATTTTAAAATAAAATTGTTTAAATACACATATGCATCTCACTAACCTATTTATTATTCAAAAAAACGAGCACTCATGTTCATGGAATGTTCACGCAATGAACATTAGATGATACTCAGCAGTATCAGGCAAAATAATTATAATTAACTGAGACTGATTTACCACTCAAGGTCCTCCGATTCAAATATTTCACATTACCATATTCATTTACCTAAATTTAGCATTTATCCACCTGTTTCTAACATGCAGCTACAGAAAGGTCAGACTATAAACTCATACTTCTATAGTTTATTTACCAGGATAATTTAACTCTATATAATACCTACTTCTCACTTTTTTTTTTTTTTTAAGAATTGGTCATTATTTCTATTCAGCATGTTCCACTCTCCAAGTGGAAGCCATCATCAAACGCAATACTCAGATGTTGGTCTTAGCCAGACCATGTACTCAAATCCTAGGGCTTGAATCAAATTTATGTCTGAATTATCAGGTTTCTATTCTGAAACTAAGATTCCAGTTTCCAAGATAGGATGACTTGTCATCAGAACAATATTTACTGGGATAATTTTACCAATATATTTCTTTGCATGGATGCTCTTATTTCTGAGTAATTTCTGAATTTCTCCCGTGTGGTGAGTTATGTTCTTCTAACAATGGCAGTATAATTATGCTTCCCCATTTCAGCATGGAAGCAAAAGCTAAGCTTCATTACCAGTCTGAAATAAGTAAACAGTATCGCTTTTTGTAAGATGAAATGAAATGCATCTGTGCTTATTTAAGAAAAAGGAAAGAAAATAGAACTTTTCAGACTTGGTGCTTTTCGGTACTGTAGCCTTCTTACACCACTCCAGTTACAAGCTAGGTTGAACAAGTGGGTTTAAGCAGCTCCCCCAGAGTGCTACAGTAGCAGATACTGGTACTGCCTCTGTCCCTCCATAGACCCTGCATTAAATGAAAAATCCTCGTCAAGTCAGTGAGAGATAATTGCCTCTGTTCTATGCCTGCAGAATCACACCGAATTCTGGTGAAATGTTTAAGAATATTGAGTAACTCTGAATTGGGCTGGAAATGCAATTAAGAAGGTCCAAAGGTGATTTAAAGACACCTGTGCTCTGGCTCCTTGAAAAAGATGGAATGGTAAATTTGACCAACTGCATTTTATGCTTTGCAAATTTTCAGGACTTTGCATAAATGAAAAAAAATATTAAAGACCAAAATGCTGTCAAAGTAATTTCAGCAAGTCCCTACTGGGATGTTTAAAATCTGTCATTTGAATTCAGCATTCAACCTCCCTGCACGATGAACAGACAGTATAACTAATGGGACTGTAGGATACCTTATGACCTGACTGTCAGCGAAGCCATGTGGATTGATGGAAGACTGGCACACTCACACCTGGTAAGACGCATGGACTCGTGCTGGGTTGCAATTAGCACATACATTCTCATTCGTTATTGTCTCTTTAATCCCCTTTCCTTATTTTTTTTAATTAAGTATTAAGAGACTTTC